AGAGGTATAAGTGGTGGTCAGGGATCCGCATGCTATTGGCCATAGAGGTATAAGTGGTGGTCAGGGGTCCACATACTATTAGCCATATAGGTAGGTACGAGAGGCACCCACAAATGTTTGGTCTTTGCGGGAATGTGTGATGGTCAGGGGTCCACTTGCTTTTGGCCATATAGGTATAAGTGATGGTCAGGAGTCCACATGCTATTGGCCATATAGGTATAAGTGGTGGTCAGAGGTCCACATACTATGAGCCATAGAGGTATGGCTCTGTGCCTTTAAGGGGGGTTGGGCTTCCTCCTGACAAACCTGCACCCAATTTTATCTTCTGCCCCATATGCTCCAAGATGGAGGCTCTGACAGTTTAGAGTTAGTACCGCACTATAAGAGGTGCCTTGGCGCGGCTGTGCGGCTTTCACATTTTCTGCAGAAGACGTGTATCCAAACCTCGGTTTTTAACCTTAGCGGTGAGACAAGTTTTTTTACAGGCTAGCTGGTGAGTGTGCAGGGAAATTTTTTTGCTATAGAAGGTTGAGGGCCACACAACACAGGCCGTATACAATGACCTCAGAATACAATAAAACATTCCGACAAATATTACATTTAAATTTATATTTTATTCTCAAGAATTTGAACAACTTTACACAATTTTCAAGTCATAAAATCAGAGCGCTTTTCTTTTTTTTTATTATTTAAATCTCTTCTTCTATAACTTTTACAGCTCAAAAAGAAATAACAGAAGAATGATACAGTGAACAAAAAAAAAAAAAGCTCAAAAAACACTTACGACAAAAACACCAAAAACGAAGAGAAATGATCCAGAAGCTGCATCGGCAACAGTACAATAAATACACGATTTTCTTTACACACCTGCATCAAGGATCGATAAGCCCCCCGAAGGGGATAGATTATTATTTTTTAGGGAACATCTCACTTTAAAGGGTTGAGGTTTCTACGACACAATAAACGACGACGACGAATGGTTCCACACGGGGGGGAGGAATGGGTTCCTACAGCGAGTTCTGAAGCACTTACTCAATCACAGTCAAGTAAAAGAAGTCTAGATGGGATAGAAATCCTGATTCGGAAGCTGCACAGTTGGGACTAATGCTGGGCACACAACTTACAACCATCGTCAGACTTTTGTCTTGCGATGGTTGTAAGGTACTTAAAAAAAAAAAACGTACGATCTGCCCATCTTGGACAGGCAGATCGTACTTGCGATGACCGCCAGCCGCGCCCCCCTGAGGGGCGGGCTTCCGATGACCGCAATGCCGAAACGGGCAGTGTGCGCTTGCGCACACCGGCCCGTCCGGCTTTTATCTTACGAACACGCCCCACACCCGCCGAACGTCGTACGATGCTCGGCAGGTTTTTCGAACATGTTCGTAAGTTTAAAGTCGTGCGACCTTAAAGTAGTAGAGGTCGCACGGCTTCCACACCCCTTACGATAATCGTACGATCGCGGGATTTCCCGCGATTATCGTACGATTATCGTAAGGTGTGTGGGCACCCTTAGTCACAGATATCAGCCAATCATAGGTAAGCTTTCAGTCATCCCGAAGCTGCTAAAAACAGATACGATTGGTCGCTATGGCTTACAGCGCATCACTGTACTTGGCTTCCAGATGTTAAAAGAACTCAAGTCAAAACAAAAAATCCGCAGTAGGCATAATATCGAGTTATGTCCACTTAATAGATCTTATTTTTAGTCACTCGCCTAGAATTTTGGTGCATACAAGAAGGTATCGAGAGAATTAAAAGGGCCACACCAAAGATTTAGGCATTCAAGTGTATTTATTTTATTACAGAGGTTCAAAAAGGTCAAAAGCCAACGCGTTTCAGAGCTTCAAAAAAAAATGTGGTGGACCTGTATGGGTTAATGAAGGGTGAATCAACTCAGGACACCTAACCAGCTTTTCAAGGAGAAGAGGACCCAAGGAAAAAGATGACCCAAGGAAAAAAGATGACCCAAAGGAAAAAAGATGACCCAAAGGAAAAAAGATGACCCAAGGAAAAAAATGACCCAAGGAAAAAAGGTGACCCAAGGAAAAAGGTGACCCAAGGAAAAAGGTGACCCAAGGAAAAAAGGTGACCCAAGGAAAAAGGTGACCCAAGGAAAAAGGTGACCCATACGTCCACCTCATTTTTCTCATCAGCACCTGAGGCCCCGATGAAGGGGAAATGCTGAAGTCTCCAAAACGTGACGGAATATTGCACTTTTATAATTAAATTTACACTCCTGGACTCCTAAACCTTTGATGTGGCACTCTTGTTTTTACCTATCGCTTCCAGCATCCACCGAATATCTTCATGAGGTCCTCCTGTTAGTGAGCTGCCTAACCAGAGCGATGTACTCCATAGTATGGACTTATCTCCACACAAGAGACGACTCCGGATCCATTGCCTCCTATCCACACATTTTTTGTATTTTTGGGTGTGTGCTTTGCCTTGGATTTGACGAGAATGGTCAAGAGCATGCTAGGGGCTGACCGGAACAGTCCGAAACATGCTCAGACGTCTACACATGACAAGCATGTACCTGGGTTATAGAAGGGACAAAATCTCATCCGATTCCGAAAAAATCGCGACATCGAAAAAACAAAACGCAACCTTAGGGAAGTGACTATTTTTATGGCTTAATACTGGATTTTGTGTTCCGTCTCTAGTTCTAGACCCCTTGGGCTGTAGGAGACGCGACAAAGGCCGGCAGACAAAGAAAGATCCCCCCCAAAAAATGACCATGGTCTGCGCCATCTTCAGGTGACTTCTGTAGTATGTGTATAGCACACGGCTTATGCTACAGATTAATATGACACAGGCGCCACTTGTGACAGATAAAGAGCTGGGTGACCTTTGAAAATATGAACCCGATAAAGGGTCAGAGGACCAACACTGAATTTAGGGGGGTATGTAA